AGAAGGTGGACAAGGTGGCTGTACAAAATCTGATGGCAGGGGTCAAGCGTAAGGCCCGGCAATTCGGATTTGGAAAAGCGGAAGCCTAACTGAATATTTTTCCTGAATTTTATACTAATTGAACTTGAAAAAGAAATTTAATTTGATTTTTTAAATAAACGATTTCACCGATTTACACGCGTTTTCCCTTGACCAAATTTTGACCGTATCACCCTTTAGATCTATGTTTCAATGCTCTGCTTTATATATATATATATATATATCATAGTAGTGGGAAACAATTAGCGGGTATACAAAGGGAATACAATTTGCATATTGGAGGTGGGAAGAGAGACAGAGCTCAAAGAAAAGAAAGGATAATAGTAGCCGAGATCGCTGCAGGAAGTGTCCTCAAATTCTGTCACAACAATAACCATCAAATTGAGTTTTCAGTGTGCTCTCACTGATAGCAGAATAAGTGTTAAATTTGATGTGACAATTATATTTGATAAATGTTAAACCGACCAAATCGGCAATAACTTGAGCAATAATTATCTGCTATATCTCAAAATCTACTTTAGTTTCAATTTGATCCCAGACTTTGCTCAGCCATTTAGCTCCTTTCCATTGCGGAAGCTATGAAAACCTCTGGGAGGAGCCTGTCCTATCATTTCTAAAAAAATGTGTAAAGCGAACCCCACACGTATCAATATATTGACACGAATGGGAATTATTGCCATTAATATTGATGATGTGAATACAAAAATATTGTCAATACCGATGTATTGACGTCAATATTGAATGTATCGCAATCGTGTAGGGTTCACTTAAGAAATCAAAATCCTAGCCCATAAAATGGAATGTTAAACGTTTGTCATAGTCAAGACCCTGGGAATTATTTCCCTAAATCATAGTAATTTAAACAACAACAAAACGTTGCTATATGCATTATTGCCTCACTCAAGCCCTATAATGAAATTTGTTTATGATGTTTATGAAATGATCGTCATTCGATTTATCATCTGTTGGAATATGAATAAATCAAATGATAATCATCCATATAATGAATGATTAATCATATAGGGGAAATGGCTCTACAGTTGGCTTTGGGCTCATCGCTAAAAATCTGCTATTTATCAATTTTATCTAGAAGAACGCGTCATTGGAATGGTACAAATGGATTTTTTCGGCCGCTATTGAAAATTATGTCGATTGCTGAATTTATGTATGGGCCCAAAATAAGAGATAACATCCATTTCCCCTATCAAACATAAAACCATAGGAGAATCGTATTATTTTCTACGTATTATAAAATTAAACTATATGATGAAGTTTCGGCTGAAAATCAGGAGCTAAACAAGTCATATTTTACAATTTATTTAAGATTATATTATTTACAAGTTGCAGGGCTGGTAGCGAGTCACTTTTTTAAGGTCAAGTCACTAAAGTCACTTTTTCTTGTAATCAGTCACTATTTTCAACTTTTTTAGCGAGAATTTATTTCAAGATTGATCTTTCTTTGCTTAGTGTCGTTTAATCATCTTACTCTTTATACAGGGTGTCTGCTCATTTTTTTCTAAATGAAATTTGCTGAGTTTTCCAGGTTTTTCGAGAACAATAACGGATAAATTCCAGGCTTATAATAATAAAGCTATTTTTAAAATGCGTTCAAAAATGCTTTTTTCTGGAAGATCAAACACAACAGTAATTAATCCAAACATTTTTAGAACATGGCAATCAGTTTAAAAAAATCAACATTTTAATGAAATCCATTGAATGTTTAAGTTTAACACTTACTTAATTTCTCACTTTAATAAAGTTAAAAAAAAAACGTACTTAACTTGAGTAAGTCCTAGATCTCAAAATATTCAATATCTTGTTGTCTTTGAAGAAGTTCTGAGGAATGAAAGGTAATGCTGAGATTTGTAGTGCTCCATGAACAATCTGCGGGAACATAAGGGAAGTTAACACACTGAAATTATAGGGAACTTATTGGAAGCTTTAAGATCCTCAAATCGGTTCTTTTAAGATCGAAAATTTTCAGGAACTTTTATGAAGTTACTAGAATTTCAGAGTACATCGCAGGAACTTGAGAAATATAGAAACCTTGAGGGGTATTGTGCAAATTTTGAAGAAGTTCTAAGCACCTCAGAAAAGCTAGATATAGAGATCTTTGGGGAATTTCAGATCTTAAGAGCAGTTCCCATGACATTGGTTCATACTTTTTGGAGCAGTTTCGATATGTATAATCGTAAATTTAGAAAAAAAAATGAGAACCTTCAAGATGTTCCGGAAGTACAGAGATCATCAAAAAATGTATGCAAACTTCAGAAATATTACAGGAACTTCACAGAAGTCCAAAGAATTTCAGGGAAATTTATGTACAATAGAATTGAGAGCTTTAGGGAAGCTTCGAGAACATTAAGACAGATCAGAGAATCAAAGGGCAATTCATATAATTTCAAGGAAATTGTAGAAACATTAAAGAAGTTCCGGAAATTTCAGAAAAGCTCCTATAGAATTTCTGGAACGCGATAAAAATTATATGAACATCCGGAAAACATGAGAGTATTTCAAGGGCGTTATATCATAAAGATTTCAAGAGCTTTAAAAACATGCGAAAATTTTGCTAAGTTGATTAGAGAATATCAAGGAAGTTCCATTTATTAAATAAAATGCAAGAACTTTTAAATATCTTCAAGAAGTTCAAGAGAACTTAGAATTTAGATAGTATCATGATATTCAATGAAGTTCCGAGTACTTCGAGGACGATCAAATAGCTTCCGAATAATCCCATTAACTTAAGAAAATTTGCAGCGACTTACGAGAAATTCCGTGGAATTATGGGGTATTCCACGAATTCTATGATTGATCCAAAAACCTCAGGGAATTTTGAATATGTAGATCAAAAAGTTTTACGGATTATTAAAAAAATAATAATAGAACTTCAGGTAAGCGTAGATAAGTTCAGGGAAAATAAGTGAGCGTTTATAATGGTTTGAATACTTAAGAAAAATTGTCGAAACTTCAAGGCAAATCAATTAATTTTAGTAAAGTTGCGGATTCTTAAAATATGCTGATCAATTCAGGGCTGTCTAGAGAACTTTAAAGAAATTCAATAATCGTTTAGGTAGTTTTAATAACATTAATTATTTCGTTCTAATGCCATGAAAATTTCGGGAGCCCAAAAGTTCCAGAAATTTTGAATAACTTCGAAAACTTCACAGAAGGATAGTAGTCTTCAGAAACATTTCTAGAACTTCATAGAAATCTATGGAGCTTAAGGGGAGATCGGCGAACTTCAGACATTTTTATGTACTTAGCAAAAGGCGAGAGTATTTGAAAAAAGTTTAGTAAGCTTCGAAAATTTGAGCAATTTTAGGGGGAGGTCAGTTCCATTAGTTTCAGAAAAATTTAAAGCAGTTCCCAGATTTTCAGATAACGTTAAAAAGTTTATTGAGGTCTTCGAATAAGTTCAAAAGTTCACTGTAGCTTAAACATTTTAAGGACGATTCAAATAAATTCAGCGCAGTACAACAAGCTTCATGAAAACTGCAAAAAAACGTTAGAGCAGTTTTGAGTATTTTATAAAATAACAGAGAATCTCAGAGCAGTTCCATTAAGATTAGAGAAGTCACATAAAGTTTAAAGAAGTTTAGAAAACTTCAGCGAATTTTTGAACCTTTAGAAGAGATTCATAATTGTTAGAAAAATTAAGCAAACTTTAGGAAGTTCTATTAGGATCAGGGAAGTTTAAGAATTTGACAAATGAGCATCAGGCTAGTTGCTCAGTTTTGTTGACTTCAGGCAAAATTTGAGAAGTTCTGAAGACCTCAGAATAGCCCATTCCATATTCAATGGAAATTTCAATGAAGCTTTTCTCCGAATTCAATTTAATTTTAGTATCCCTCGGAATTACCTTGAAATTCTCCACAATAAGACACCCTTTGGAAAGATTATCAGAATATTCATTTTTTTTTTTCATTTTTTTAAGATTTTCTTTAGAATCTCACTCCTTACCTTGGAATTCTACTCACATTGAAAGTCTCCTAAGAATTCATTGGCATTTCAACTCACAAATTCCTTAGATTTCTTTTCATAATTTATTTGGAAAACTCTAATGAATTTTTTTTTTCCAAATTCCTTGGAAGATGTCTTGGAGTTATTCTCAGATTTAATTGTAATGCTACTTTTATTATTTTCGAAAAAAAATCCAAGGACTTATGCTCCGAATTTGTTTTCTCTCACAAAATTAATGATATTATTGTCATAATGCTCTTGGAATTTTCCTTTGAAGTTCACAGGAGTTGTGCTCCTCAGAAATTCCTTAGAGTTTTCATTGAAATTTACTTTTCATTCAATTCAGGGTCACTATTTTTACAACTATAAGTCACTATTTAGTCACTTATTTCTTCAACATGGTCGCTAAAATCACTATTTTTGTTAGCAGTGATCGCTACCAGCTCTGAATGACGGCGAGGTAGAGCCAATCAAGGGGCAAAAATTATGTTATACAGCAGATTGATGTTGGCTTCGTAGACCTCCCAGGAGTTGTCAACGATGTCATTACAGGAGCGATTGCTCTGGCTATTGCGAAAAGTATCCGTAGTTGCTTTGGGGCCTGGGAAAGAATGGGAAAACTTCAATAATCTCATCGTGCATGTTTATCTAGAAGGAAGCTTATCTTCTGACAGATTTTGTCATACGGTTTACAGAAACATTGAAATTGGATGCAACTGAATGTTGTTTCATTCTATAAATGGAGGATGATTTGGTTCAGTGTAATTGAGGCCGATGATCATAAATAATATGCATGCTTTTTTTTCTTTATCCGAGGTCATGCATTTTTCGTAAGTTCAATATACCGAATTTCAAGAAGGCATATCTACAAAATCTTAAAATTAGTTAGGGATAGTTTTTCATAGTGTGTGAGTTTGAGGCTCTAATCAAGAACAAATATTGATTTGGAAAATATAATCTTTAACTTAATGTTTCGATGTTTTTTCCCCATCTCCGCACAGCTACTACAAGGATCCCGTCCGGACAGCGGAAACGATCGACGAGGACGGCTGGCACCATACCGGTGACATTGGCCAGTGGCTACCGAACGGAACGCTCAAGGTGATCGACCGCAAGAAGCACATCTTCAAGCTAAGCCAGGGCGAGTACATCGTACCGGAGAAGATCGAAAATGCCTACATTCGCAGCCAGTACGTTGAGCAGGTGTTTGTGCACGGCGAAAGTTTGAAGGTTTGTGATGGACATCTACGATTGAATGCCTAAATGTTTTTTTAACGATGATCATTACTTTCCCGGAACAGAGCTGTGTTGTAGCGATCGTAGTGCCCGATGTAGAAGTGGTCAAGCACTGGGCCATCGAGAACAACATTCCGGGAACGCTCAGCGTACTGTGCAGTAATCCCGACGTCAAACAGCTGATCATGAATGACATGCTCGCCTGGGGCAAGGAGTTTGGACTTAAATCATTCGAACAGGTGAGAAAATCTTGGAAAATAAGTTACAAGAGCGATCATTTTCACATGTGTACTATATTTTTTTTTAGGTCAAGGACATTTACCTTCACCCGGATCCTTTCTCGGTGCAGAATGGTTTGCTGACACCGACGTTCAAGAGCCGACGGCCTCAGATCAAAAACTACTTTGCGCCACAGTTAGACGATATGTACAAACACCTGGACTGAACACGATCCTTGTAGTATCTGCCGTGTAGTACACGAGGCGTGTAAGCGAGCTATCGAGTGAGTGAGGGAGTGCGAGAGTGAGTGAGTGAGATAGCGAATGGGGGTGGACACATTTTATCGCATGTGATCGTCATGTGGCGCATTCAATTAACTATACTTAAACAAATTTCTCGATACCAGCCAGAGTTATCCCTGCTTGTGGATTGCAGTGCATAGGCGTACTAAGGAGGGTGACTTACATGTGTGTGTTTTGTAGATACAAACCAACCAAACAAACCCTAAATCTGGATACACCATCTAAGACTTAATGAAATCAAACAAACTGTCGCAAAGCGCCGTTATTGTGCTATTATACACTACTCTGAATTGAAATTTGTGTTTCTCCGTGCAGTTCGTACGCCATACGGACGATACTTTTCAGAGTCAACGTATTGCCAAGCCTAATTGGCAATGTTTATAGAACTTTCACTGGCTGTTCTGACTTTCAATGGGAACCAATCGCGGATTGAAAGCAAAAATACCAAAATCTACTTAGTTGTTACTTAATAAATTATTACCATTCAAACGTACCCAGTTACAAATTGTAGGACAAGAGATAACTTAAAGGGGGAGGCATGCTGTACAGTAGTAGGAATTTAAAATCAGATTTTAGAACGGTCAGATTCATGAGTCAATTTTTGATTCTTATGACGTTTAACTCCCGACAGAATGTTTGTTTCGCGGGGTTAGTTACTTAAAGCAAACATCAATCCGGGCGTTATGTTCAAAGAAGTACATTGGCGAGTTAGCAAACTATCAGCACTAGTGGAAACAGTTTTACTTAAGAATTCCTATCTTTGAAAATCCAATTTCCATATGTTTTTAACTGAAAGGTACTAAATTTAGGTTCAATACTTAGCAATCTTTAGGTGATGAGATCTAGTCAGGGTTTTTTTTCTTTGTTTTTATGTAAACCTTCTTTTTTATAAAAAATGTACGTGGCAGGCGATATATTTCTTCTAAGATAAGTAAAGCGACAATATCATTAATATCACTAATTAATAATTTAGCAACTCTGTTTATTCGACTTTGTATAAAATAGTTCAGCAAAACTTGATAGGAATTTTTCCACGTAAGATTTTTATGAATTCGCTTGTTTCCACAAAATGAACTAAACTAGCTTTCATACTATGAAAAAAAAAAGAAAACATGACTCACAAACACAATAATGCATTTCCAGTCGCGCGCGATCCTAAATTTCCTTCCCATCAGAAATTCGATAATCCTAATCGCAATACATACCACATACATATGAGTTCTTAAGGAAAGGTGCTGCATTAGTCCGTATAGAAAACATATAGAAATCAAGTGAAGGTGAAATGCAGTCCCAAGTGGAAAATAATTATGTTAAAGAAAGAATGTTTAACCCTAAATCCAATTTTTCATCGACAAATAGACAAACGAAGCAGAAAGATTTATTAAAAAAAAAACTGAATCACATTCACTCTAGCGTATTGTTACACGATAAAAAAAAATGAAAACAGCATCCTTTGAATCCGAAACTAGAAGGTAAAAATAAACAAACATTTGAACCAAAACACACGACAAAACTAAACACAGACACACACAAAAGATGTGAAACGAAGAAAATAGATACCATTTAGCGATATTATAACTATTGAACACACTACACCAGCCGGTAGAGGTGCGGAACGGAAGGATGAACGAAGAAGGCAAAATGGAAAGAAGAGAAGAAGGAAAACTACAAAACAAATGCAACTTTTTACTGGGCGCCTATTTAATCGTAGAATAAATTGCAATACAACCGTAGTTAGTTGAAACAGTGATGGTGAAAATCAAAATGGGACCTACCGGTCGATGGAACTTCAATCCGGATGGAAAGTTTGAGAAATCCTTGCTGCTTCGATTGGTTCACTTACATTTAGAATGGTCCCACTCTGTCCTCCATTTTTGTTGGTTGATTGAACCCTAGTTTTTGAACCCAATTATCTCGAATGAAGTCTGGAACGCGCAATAATTGGCCAACTTCAAATTGGTGTATTTCTGTTAAAAATGCTGCATTTGGAAGATGAGTGGTTGCTATGATGAGTTTTCACCGTTTGTTCTCCAGTTTTCAAAATGACGTCCAAGCAAGAGTAGCAGCGTGTCAAAATTTTGCTGGCGCTGCAAGAGAATCCGACGTTCTCACATGCCAAGTTGGCAGAATTGCTGGATGTGGCCAAATCGACCGTGACAAACGTTTTAAAAGTGTTCGGGGAGCGTCTGTCGATCGCCAGGAAGCCTGGAAGCGGCGGTTATCGTAATCCGGGCGTGGCAGCGACGACGAATAATGTGGCGATGAAAATTATCCTAACTTCAATCCAGGACGTCGCTGGCAAGCTTAAAGTCTCCCATACTGCTGTGCAGCGGGCCAAGAAACGACCCGGGATGTCGACGTTTAAGAAGGTGAAGGTGGCAAACCGAAATTACAAACAAAACACCTCGGCAAAGCAGCGGTCCCGAAAGCTGTATACGAATCTGCTCACAAAGTTCGACTGTGTCGTCATGGACGACGAAACTTATGTGAGGGCGGATTTCAAGCAGCGCACGCTATGTCTGAAGGCACTTTTTTTCAACTTTCATGTACCTCAGTTTTATCTTCCCAGGAAGTTAGTATTGGTTATGACAATCAAATCTGTGAAGGTTTTAAAATAGTTCATCTTGGGTTTTTTTTTGAGAAAAAGTTTTTTGAAGTATACTTAACCGTTTATGAAGACTATTGACGATACAAAACTGTTACGAATCGAAATAAATTCAACTGAAAATGATTCAATAGGGGATTGAAGAAGTCAAAATATTAAGTTTCAATGAAACAGTAAGATTTCTTTTTCGGTACCGTCACATACCGTAGCTTTGTCAGGATCTCATAATGTTTAAATTTAATAATAATATAATTAAACAAAAGTCCCTAAATTTACTATTATCCCGCCATTCCATAGCAAAACGATATTGTGGTTCTCAGATTGTGGTCAAAATTGTAGTTTTGTTTCTTATCACAATTTTTTTTATTTATTTTGTCATTAGGGTGACCATTTCAACGTTAGGGTGGCCCAAAAAATCGATTTATTTTTTTTTTATTTTTTCAAAAATGACTTTTCAAAAAATCAGAACGTTTGAATCACTAGCCCGATTTCAAAGTTCAAAATATTAAATGAAAGGTAAAAAGAAACAACTGTAATAAAACATTTAATGATATTAAAAAATTTGAAAAACATTGATTGTTTTGCTCATGCCCTCGATCACATTTCACAAGGAAAGCGTAAAAGAGAAATAGGTATCGCAAGAAATTATCTCTATTATACCTGATTTCTAAGACATAGAGTGAGATATGTTCCACCAACGACCCGATGAGACAGCTATTAGAAGTTAGATTCAAATTCAATGTTCATGTTCATAAGTTTTTCCTTCATTGCGTTGAACTTCGATGAAATTCTTCAATCGTTCCGGATGTTATATGAACGACTCTGAGTTTGGCATTTTTTTTCTGAAATTCTCAATTTGATAGATAGTTCGCTTGAGGTGTTGTTACCAGACCATCTTAAAGTTTGCAAAATTTTCCTCACGTTTAAAGAAATTTTTGCAGAGCATTTCATATAATGTTGCTATAGTTCACAGAAGTCTCCTGAACTCCCCTGAAGCTCACAAAACGTCCCTGAAGTTCGCAGAATTTTCCTGAAGTTTAAGAGATGAACTAGCCTTAGGCTAAAAATCTCTCTAATAAAGAATTAAAAAAAAAAAAATCCTGAAGTTTATAGAACTTCTCCTCTAAAGACCGAAGCACATCTTTCAAGTTTGAAGAATTTCCTGAAGTTTGTAGAGCTTCCCTGAAGTTCAATTAACTTCTCTGAAAGTTGCTGAATTTCGCTGCTTCTTTGGAAGAACTTCTTTAAAGTTTGCAGAACTTTCCTTATATTCATTACAGATCCCTACAGTTTGCAGAATTTACTAGAAAGTCACTGAACCTTCCTGAATGTTTCCTTTGACAAAATATGGGAAGTGCAATGAAGCTCTAGCAATTCTGTAATAATTCAAGGTGAGGGCTACCTAAACTCACTGGGCAAGAGGAGCTAATCTCATGTGAGTTTCATTCCTGTATTGTCGACATTATCGGATAAACGATTTTCAAACAAATTCGTCATGGTTTTCAGAATTTATTTTCGATCTCACCGTTGAGTCAAACATCTCTATTTATTTTAAAAAATCCTAGAAAATTTTCTACCCCTCAGGATGTGTTGGTGACAAATGCCACCTTTGCCACCTACTGAGTACGGGGCACAAAACTTCCGGATACCTGCCATATCCTTTATTGAACTCCAGTAAAAATCTTTCAACGATCGTCGCTTCTAAAGTGTCATGATTTTTTTTTACAGTGTCGCTTTTTCGAAGCACCTCAAGCGAACTATCTAATTTCTTCATGATTTCAGATTTCCTACACGATACATCTATAAAAAAAACACTCGAACAGGACAAAAACCAATGCCTACTATGATTACGTGGCTGTCACGGACTGTCCTGCTCGTTTTTTTTCTTTTACTCTTATGAGGAAAGAGGCATTAAATAAAATGTTGTGATACCGTCATAATCAATATGGATCTTACTTACAAAGAGAACTTCTTTAATGCCATTTAGATTAATTAAATCAACTTTTGAACCTTATTTAACTGCATTTTTTTCAATTCATAATAGATTTGTACGGTCCATAGTCCATATAAGTTTTCATAATCTGCTCTGTAAACTTTAAAAAAACGTTTTCTCAAAAAATCCAAGATGAAATATTTTAAAACCATCACAGATTTGATTGTTATGATCAACACTAACATCCTGTGAAGAAAAATCAGAGGTACATGAATGTTGTAAAAAAAAGTGCCTTCAGACAAAGCGTGCAGCGTCCAGGACAGGAGTTTTATACTGCATACATTTTCAAAACCATCAAAGTATCGAAGTTCCCGAAAAAATATCTCGTCTGGCACGTGTGGTCTAAAAAGCGGCATTTTCATTACTAGGGGAACCATCAATCAAGAGACAATTAATCCTGGAGTGCCTGTAAAAGCGGTTGCTACCATTCCTAAAGCAACATAATAGATCTTTGCTGTTCTGGTCGGACTTGGTGACCTGCCACTATGGGAAAAAGGCAATCGAGTGGTACAGATTGACGAATTTTTAATTTTTTTTTTAATTTTTCGGCTCCGATTTTGATGAAAATTTGCACGGTGTGTTCTTTTTTAGGAAAGATGCCAATTTGTGTTATCAGTTCTTCAAATTGAATTACGACTACTTTTCTAACAGGGCCTGTGTAAAAATAGTACTAATGAGTTAAAAAATATATATTGCTGAAACGGTTTGTTGGATTGATTTGATGTCTTGAGCAAAGTTGTAGATATTATTTTGGCAATAATGTTAAAAATATACACTGTAAAAAAATTTAAATTATGTAAGTTATGATTTTTTGAAAATTTCACTATTTTTACATTTTCATTAAAAACACAAGTTTTTCAACTGTGAATATTTTTTCAAGAATCTCATTTTAATTTTGCACAACTGTCCCGAAGACACCATAGCAATCAAGCAAGCCGTTTTTGCAATATAGGTATGTTTATTTCATTAGTGGTTTTCTACACAGGCTCTATTGCAACGTTAGGATTCATTACATCTGATACCATGAAAAGGTATCGTTACTAACAAAACTAAAAAATTCATTAGATGAATATTGAGCTAGAACTAAATAAAAGTGATATGGTGTTCAAACTAGCAACCCTTACTGAAGGAGCAATTCCATGCAAATTGACAATTTTTAATTTTTTTTATCATTGTCTTCAATTTTGCATAGTTGTATCAGTGATCTTAACGGTAATAAGTAAAATACTCAACACTGTAGTCGTGAACACCAAAAACATCTGTCTGTACCTAATGTAGAAATTGTACCTATCGATCTGATACTTAAATGAGTTTGAATGGTGAAAACAAGCAGTTGATCACAAAGATTGCTTTTTACCGCACACATATTAAAATCTTATCATAGGAAATAAGTGTAGCACCATTTGGTTAGAAGGTAAGCATAACCTTCAGTTGTATTTCAATGAAATCATTTTTAAAGATTATTATTTTTAATTTTTTTTTAATACAGGAAGCAACATGAGTGAACGAGCATGTTTTATCAGGTGCATTCGGCCGTTCAAGGAAGTCAAGTGCTCGAAAGAGCTGAGGAATATTTCGAATGTTACCATCCAGATATTAAAATCGATTGGATATTCTGAAGCATCAGGATTGAATACTGGTTTTCGCATTTGCACGTCCTGTCGTCTTCGTGTTGATAAACAAGCTCTTTTCATCTCAAACGATTAACAGCATGTTGCCGGAAGCTCAAAGATGCCAACTACAGTGATAGTACCTGTCGTACCGAGCTGTGAAAGCCTTACAACTGTACCATCAATGACATCAGTTACTTCAGTTCAATCGTACCAAGAAGTTACTCAACCAGTCAACATCGAGATATTCAACCGAGGCATTGCAGGACTCCAGGTATCACCGATAAAAATGGGAAAACTCAACTACATCCACTACCCCGAATAGAAGCACCGTGAAATCAACGAAGGTATTAGAAAGAATCTTTTCAACTTCGAGCCTGAGGCTGACGAAGTGAATGAACTCAAAGAAGTTTTAG